GCTACAAGGCCTTCTTCATCTAAATTTTATATAAAAGATGCCTCTTTTTTTGCCTAAAAAAATTGCTTGCAAACTCCCAATATACAAGGATAATTTTTCTAAAATCCTAGCAACATAAAGACATACAAATGATTATTGTAAAGTTCATGCAACCATTGACTATTAGAAGTTTGGATTTCTAATTTCCTTGAGCCTAGACATAGTAAAGAATATAACATAATTGAGCTACTTGTAGCAATTAGAACAACTCCATGATCTCAAAATACTACTCTCTAACTTTCTTTTTCATTGCATTGATTTGGATGTTGTAAGATAGGATACTTCCATCAATCTCAAAAATTTATTTGTCATCATCACTCATTATGACATTTGAATGACCTCAATGAATTCATGACAAGCTTCTTGATAATTTTCTTTAAGACTTGCTGCAAAAGTTCCTATTGTATTGTGGGTATGCACTATTCCAACATCATTATTGTGGATCTCATAAAGAATCAAATTTTTGTATCAATTCAATATTATAAAAAAGATTCATTTGAGTATAATTTAGATGTGTTTCATATTGAATTCATGACTAAGCTGATTCCTTTGGACGACCATTGATAAAAAGAGAGAGAGAAAGAGCAACACCAATTTTTAAAGTTGTATTGCTGATTTACTTCCTTGTTGTAGTCAGACTCTTGCATTGTTGATCAAGAGCTTAAAATCCGACTTGCTTGTTTTTCATCATAGAAGAATCACTTGAAAATTTAGAAGCAAATGTTTGTGATTCTTTATTGGATATTTTACCAAAATATTCACTTTTCTTTGCCTTATGTCATCCTAAATAAAAACAAACAAAAAAAAAAACAAAAACAAAAACAAAAACAAAATGCATTTTCTTGAGTTGATAAGCACAATGACTTGAGTTTCTCAAAATTTAAAATAATGCACAATGGAAGATCACCACCTCAGCCAATAGCATAATTATCATTTGTCACATTCACCTTTGGACAATCATTTTAAGAATAGATGAAATGAACGTTCTTTATGATCGGCATGCTTTGATTCAATTGCAAGACCTTAAATTTTGAGCTAAGTGTATACAAGACCAGTCTATAAATTCCATACAATAATGTCACCAAAACAAGGATGGGAAGTACAAGATGGGATTGCCGATGAGGGCTGTGGAGGTAGGTTGAGAATAAGGGAATTGGCGGCAATAGCTGAGAATGGAGATGAAGGCTCAAGAAGTGCAATGTTATGGATTGATTTAATAAAAATTAGGGTTGCTATAATATTTTATATATATATATATATATATATATAATAAAATTTATCTTTAGTAATATTTTATTTTATTTTCATATTCTAAAATTACACTTTTTTAAACAAACACATTCATTATTGTTACAATCTAAATTCTAAGATTTAATTATAATATTTTTACTTTTATTATATATAGCCTATTATAAAATATAAATAATTAAAATAATCTACCTTAAATTTTTATTTCTTATTTCTTATTTTCAAAAGAATATCATTAATAAATTTATAAAAATATTATTATATATTTTATACATGTTATTTTAATAAACATTTTAAAGAATTACCACTACATTTATTTGTAGTATGTATAAAAAAGTAAAATTAAAAGAAAACAACCCCCAAAATTCTTTTATCTTCTCATAGACTTCTTTTTTAAGACTAAACAATTGGTAACCTTAAACCTACTATTGATTTTAAAAGTTTAATGTATTTTTCTACAAAATACATTAATCTACAAAATAATAATTTAGAAAAGAAGTGTAAATAAAAATAAAAATACTAAAAATATAATATTTTTAAATATTTTTATTAATTTTTATAGTTTTATTTATTTTTATTTCTTCAAAATGAACTTTGGATATATGCAATGTAGGAATCAATACAAGTTAATTTAGATATTGTTACATTAAATATTGCTGCCAGTGTTGTTGATTTTTTTAATTGATTCTTTTAGATTTTGCTATTTAGTAATTGTGTCTGATTATTTTTCATATAAATCTTTTTAAATACTGAAGAAAATCATTAATCCAAGTATTAATAATATAGAACAGAATCTAGGAATAAATGTTGATTTCTTGGAGATGATTCTTTACCAATCAACTTTACCCATATATTTAAAATATATATTATAACCTGACCAAATGATTTCACCTCCAATTACTTTTCAATAATTTTGCTATTAGCTTTTACGTTATGCTAATTTATGAAATGAATTCTTGGCACCAGCCAAAATTTAAATCTCTGAATTTTTTAGCCATATTATCAATTCAATACTTTTGCTAATAAATGCGTCATTTTTTTCTAGTAAAGTTGCACTTCGTGTCAATCCGTACTATTGGCAGCCTTTTTTCATGATGCTACTACTATTATCATCATTTGAAGAGAGAATCCAGCACTCTTTAGGACAGTTTGCAAGCTAAATTTTAACATGAAAATTTCATCCAGGCTACTTTGAATTCACAACAACCACTAAATCATGCAATAATGAACAAAGACCTGACATAAATTCACAATATATATATATATATATATATATATCAAAGGTTGCAGTTAACAAGGGCACGCCAGAAAACAAATAAACAATTTTTTATCTCGTCTGTGACATCGGTCAGAATCAATACATCAGCGTTAATTTAATAGAAATTACGCCACTTGACAATCAATTCATGAGGTTGAAACTCACGTTCACCATGTTAAACAAATTCATGGATATGCTGAGAAATGATCAACAAATTTAAAAAAAAAAATCGGACAGCTGGGCATTTCTGATCATCACTTCAGCTACGTTGCACAGCACAAATGAAATAGACAAATAACAAACTATGCCCCCCCCCCCCCAGACCTCCACGAACTAACAATTTCTTCGAACTGGGGGACAGAAATTCAATTTCCTGTCAATAATTCCGCACAACTACAGTTTACGGTTGGTCGGAAGTTGGGTTGGGAGGCGTACCCTGTCGCTTGAACGAAGGAGCTCCAAATCGTCGTGTAGAAGAGAGGAATGCTACCGATTGTGGGTTTAATGAAAATGTGTCGAATCGGCCACGTTGAACACTTGCAGACATGCGCGCAAAGAGTGGCCATGAACGGCGAGACAGAGTGTGTAGCACGATGGGTACTGGGCGAAGAAAATCAATCTAGGTCCGTCAGTGGCAGTGCTTGGATGATGCGACGTTGATAAGAATCGGGAGAAGAAAAGGTGGGATTCGAGATGGCGTGAGCAAGCCCTAATCCTGGTCTTAAAAGGAAACCCTAAATCGGTGATGACCTCTTGGCCACTAACCACTCGTCACCATTCTTAACTGAGATCCAAACACTCCTTTTTAAGTACAACTACTCTACTTAGTTACAAATACATAAAGATTACCAATTCTGCTTATATCATATTGTGATTTTTATTGAAATAGTATATGAAAGCACATGATATCTTTTCTTTACTACTAATATATTTTAAGTCCTTCTTTCTCTCTTGTCCAAAATTATTATAAATAGTTAAAAACTTACTTTGTTTATTTTAGAAGGCCATATAAAGTTACATTAGAGTTTCTTTGAAAAACTCTAGAGTTAAGTGTATATATATATATATATATATATATATAAGTAATTGCTCCAATCAACATTTATACCAAACTTGCACACTGATGAAGTATTTACTTGTTGCCATTTGATGAGTGCAAAAAACCATGTTTTCTTCAAAGATTTGATGCTCTTTTCAAGAACACGTCACATTGTTGTTCTTGATTATTTCTACCTCTGGTGAATCATAATTTCTTACAATGTCAATAAATTTATTTAGGCAAGAATTACACAAATATATATATATATATATATATATATATATATATATATAATGCATAAAATTGAACAAAAGGATTATTTTGAGGTACAAATACAATTGATAATATATTTTTAAAAACCAATTGAGATGGATATAGTATGCAACCATACACTCCAAAAGAAAACCATACTAAAAAAAAAAAAAAAAAAAAAAAAAAAAACAGTTGAGATTCTAGTGCAAAAAATGGTGAGTAAAATGTTACAATCTATGTAAAGAGACAATAAGATTTGTGCATTTACCAACTTTTCTTTTCATGCTTTTAAGATGCTCAGGTTTTGTTTTTCTATTTTGTTCAAACAGAAAGACAACGACACTGCAGAGGGTAATCGCTCACGATGCATAAATAGGTCACTAAATACACAGGGATTCTTCATGGCAGGCATTGAACTTCCACCTTTGATTCTTTCCAGATCAAACCAGATAAGAGTCTCGACTTTGATTTGTAAGCTTAGCAATCAGCATGGTTGAGTGGTTTTAATTACAGAAGATCTACACTGCTATGGAGGAGAAGCTGTGCTTTGTACCTGATCACCTGCACCCACAACCACCGACGTCGATTCTGGACAAACATCTCTTTTGAGATGTAACTCAAACAGCAGAATGATATAAGAAAATACTGTTTACATTATTTTCTACCGTAAGCAAGCAAAGCATTAATGGGAGGCGTGCATTATAGGGGTGATTGATCATCGACACCTCTCACTGGATACTGAACCACGCATAATGTGGTATTCAATGGGCTCCATAACTCTCTTCCCATTGCTGTAGGTGATGGGTCGATTCTAGGAGCAACTGTGTGTTTTTGGACAAGAGCTTCTGGCCGGAGTTCAGTTCTCGAGAAGAAACGAAGAGAGATCATCACAAAAAGTGCGCACCAACCATTTCGTCCCCAGGAGCATTCTACAGAAATGATTATCATCAGTTCGTCAGACAGTTGGAGCAATAAATTCTTCGAAAAACGAAAGCTGATGAGCTTGGATGGCATCAACATCATTTCAAAACCACAGGTGCGACAGTATCATATAATCACACAACCTTGAGTACCATGTTATACGCATGCATCCACGTCTTTTAGATTCCAGATAAAATCAAAACTAAAGCACATCCACACACACGAACATCACAAGCTACAAGGTGAACGTTAATAGGTCCGTCATGAACAGTTATATTCCACTAGAATGTGCAAAATGATTACACAACAATAGGATGTGCGTGCACTCCATGACAGAGACGGTATATGAAATTCTGACGATCATCCAAGTAGATGCTCACGAGAAATTCACGCACGCTAAATGTGAGGTACTTAACTCCAATAAGCAATAACACTATACAGCTTGAAGGATATTGGAAACTTCTTATGGTATAAAGGTGGCAATTAACGCCCACCAATCTGCTAAAGTATGTACAACAATAATCTACAGTTACAGGTCACTCCATAATTACATTACTAAGAGAGATGACCCTCGTTAAGTCGCTCTAATTGAATTCACACTAACATGGTCAATACTAAAATCGCACGAGCTCATAAAAAGGAATAAGCAGAACAGGCGCACTTCTATGATGTTTCCATCATTATCTTGCTATGGGCTGGCGAATCCGACCAAGAACTTAGTTGTTACAAATCAAGGACTTGACAAGCAACAAGCTCGACAGGGCCAAAGCTGGCACTCGAAATTGTCTTCCACCCACACACGGACTCCTTTGCATTCTGTGACTGAGAGTTATCTCCCAACTCTGCCCTTAAAACTGTGACGTTATCATTGATATCCTTTGTAATGACATGTAGCTTTCCATCAAATCCAGCCAACAGATAAGGCGACTCCGAGTCACTGAGATCAAGTAGGATAGGTACCTTCTTCAACACAACCTTCCACACATCCTGCTCAGAGTCATATACCTTGATCTTGCTCCCATCCATAGAACTTGTAGGGTCAAGAGCATACAGCTTCCCGCCCACTACAACCGATAGCTTTGTCCCTGCCTGTCGGGCAGGCCAGTCTTCCCCCATTCCATTTGGCATCTCAGCCCAAGTATCCGTTGCAGGGTCGAATATCTCCCCACCAACATCAACGAAAAAGGGCCACGAGTACAAACTTTGGGGAACACAAAGCTTTCCATTGTAAGAAGCCATCCCTGTTGCAATTGGCTTCAACATGTCTGCGAGAAAAGCTGTGGGAATCACTTGTGCCCTACGAAATGGCATCGGGGCAACTTGGGACCATGAATCGGTCTCAGGGTCATAAACCTCAGCGGACTGCAGAGGAGTTAGGCCCCCTCGGCCCCGGTCAACTCCACCAATAGCATAAAGCTTGTTGTCCACAACCCCTGTCTTGCAATATGCGCGCGCAACTTCCATCCCCGCTGATGACGCCCACGTGTTCGTCCGCGAGTCATACCTCCAGACCGCACGCATAGCACTTGCCCACGAGAAGCCCCCCAGGACGTAGAGGCTGCCATTAATAGCTCCCGCCGAGCAGCCACAAAAAGGTGTCTTGTCCAGGAAGCCCTTCCGCTGGAACCAACCCCCAAAAAGGCCAGTAAGCCGCATCATTCGCAAAGGACCCAAAGGAATCCTCCATCCCCATGATGTCTCAGGTGCATCAGTCTTCTTGGCAATGTTTGCTATCTCAGGCATGGGAGGTAGTTTCCGCCATTTCCCTTCCACAGGGTCCAGTACATGCCATCCAAGGTGATCCTCTTCATCCTTCATCAACACGTACAACCACTCCTCCATCACACCCAGCTCCTTCCTGAGATTGAAGATTTCAGATGTGGAGAGAATACGGTACCAGGACTTGCATACACAACGTAAAAGAGGATGGTTGCCCCGTGTGACACGGGCCAAAATTTGAAGTGCGATCTCTTCAGGTAAACCTGGGATAATTGCTGGTTGTTGTTCATTTTCAACACTCATGCGCTGCCTCTTTGTTGAATCACTATTGGCAATGGAGGTTTCATGCTCTGGGCTCCGTGCTGAACTTAAAAAAATACCCATCGCAATGCCGGCGAGTGCAGAAAACGACACTTGTCTATTTGCTTCAACGCTATTAAAACCAAGGACATTGCGACACCATAACTGCGAGAGGCTACGTAGCAGTCACCATATCACATTCAGGTCCATGGCTATCCCTGCAGTTGCAACACCTCAAAGGTTCAGATCTACGATCCTCGAATTGTGTCTCTCAAAGGCCGAAGAGCCAACTTCATTGCACTACTCTCCACACACAGGTAATACTTGAAGCACTCATAGCACTGTTATGTGAGCAGCCAGCAAGGCACGGATCATTGGGACCAACAATCGTTACAGCAACCAGACATTATTGTAAATTGAAACATAATAATTCTACAGGATCGAACATCCACAGTCCAGTGTTAGGACAGCCCTACAAAGCCTGAAACCCTTAATGTAGTAATTTCGAGCTAGATTGCTATTTTACTTTACAACTTTCCCACTCTAGCTATTTAGAGAACTAAAGCTAACAGCGTCAATTAAAAGTTCGTCTAGAAAAACTTTTAGTACTAAAGAGAATTAGAAAGTTCAGATCCAACATTGACAATCCCCACGTCATTTGAATGCAGGTTTCGTTCAAACCACCTCACAACAGCAGAAGTATCAATTACACCAAGAACTCTAAGTAAACACGAACCTAGTTCATAAAGATTCGCATGATTAAGCCTAAGACCGTAGAACCATAAAAGTGTAACAGAAATTCCAAGCATTTCTGCTTATCATCTCTCATACATACTCGTTCAGGATATTCTCATGTGTAATTCAAAGAGCTTAGACAGCACATCGTAACGAGATCAAAAAAACAACGCCAAAATAAACGGGCGCCGCAGTGTTCCATACACAGCGAACAACAATTACTGTTGCGAAAGCATTCCTTGGTAACGAGCATATGAGCTGCTCCCAAGTCAAAAATAAACTCAATAAAAACAGCAAGATCGCTCTGACAACATAGTCTCGAAAAACCGACCTATTCTCAAACCCACTAGCGAGATAACCAAAGAAACCAGAAAGCGAAACGTAAGGCAGCAACAATGTCACCCGTTTTTGACAAATTGCGTCTCTTCGGCCCTAATTCGCTGGAGCTCAAGAAACTCTACTTCGAGACAACTCCACCAAACTCATGAGAAAGTGAAACCTGCCTAAAAGACACACAAGAAGCATGAAAGACTTATGGGACGACGACATGTCAAAAATGATGACGGAGGGACAACACAATCACCACGACACACTTAGAATTCTTCCCCGAATCGTCCAAGAATGTCCACTTTACGAAACCTTCACATTCTTACCATTCACAAGGTGCCTACAACAAAGGCCTGCAGTGAATTCTGCCACAACGGGGATGCGTAGACCTAGGGGAATTGGATTCGTTCGGGGAAGGGAACGACGAGACGGGTGGTAAGCAAGCACACAAGAGGTTTCGAAGAGATCCAACTGACCGTGCATCCTTCCTTGCTCAACTCACCGTTCAAAACTCCACGACTTCTTCGTAAGCAAGCGGGGCGAGTGTGTGTACCTGGAAAACCCCTGGCGGAGAACGTGGCAGCATCGACAAGATGCGTGCATCAGTCAGGGGATGCAAAGGCGCTCGTGCTTCTCAGGCACGGATCTCGCAGCGAGCGAGAATGGAGGCAGACGAGGCACCGAAGCGGAAACCCTACTTGGGGGACAGGATGGCAGGTTCCACTGCGGAACCGTCGTGTGCACGACGCCGCACATTCCTTAAATTCTTCCCCTATCACACGCACGTCACCCTTCACTTAAATAATTCCTTGTGAAGCTACAATGCCGAATCCATCCCCTTCTATCATGGGTGGGTATTTCTTTCTAGGGTTTAGGATACCTTTTGTTTGCATGTCTTATTTGGGGGGGGGGGAGGTTGTGTGTGTGTACGAAGAGTAAGTGTAAATAACCTTGGATGAGTAATAGCAACATCATCAATATCTAAGCATTCATATATATATATATATATATATATATATATTAATTAGGTAAATTACATTAAATCAATGTGTGTGTATATACACGACAAATTAAATAGTGAGATGTGTATTTATAATGCTAAAAACTAACATTAACAAATAATGTATATGTATTAAGCATGTTAAAAAGAAAAGGAAGTTAACATTCTAAATTATTTGTTCTCTATATTGACAAAAATGCGATAAATATATTTGTGATGCCTTTACACAGTATAACTATTTATATTAACAATTAAATAAAAATGCATAGAATTCAGTTGTCAAGTATATTTTTTTGATTTATTTTTCAGGGGAAATAATTAAGATCATTAAAGTAAATATTTTGTATTAATTATTACTTGACATTGCTTAAATAGAAACCCAACTTACTCATAATAGTCAAATTTTAATTGATGATAAATGAGTGTGAAATTTGATCATAATAATAACACAACAATGCTTGATTGTTGTATCAACTTTAGCATAATACAAAAATATTATATTTTAACATACAAATATTTACATGTTTCATGAGACAAAATCAACTTCATTCATACACAGTAGAAGTATTAAATGAGTATGTATTCTTCTTGTGTTGTTATTATTTGCATGTCTTAGTCTTTTAAATCACAATACTATATCATGAAACATAATTTTTATTATCTTACCAACTAATGTGCTTGAGACCAAAAAAAACACTAAACTTCCAATTGCATGCAAATAGGAATGTCTCTACTTAAAACAACTCAATTGCACTTAGTATGATTATTGCCATATATGTGTGTGTGTATGTGAGACATGCAAATATTATTTTTCTGATTACTTTCCATGTGCTAGTATTTGAATGTATGCAAGTATAGTTTTTATCAGTACTATGGGTGTATGCAGTTAATCAAACGAATGGGCATTATAAGTACATAATAAATAAATTGAAGAAGAAGAAGAAGAAGAAGAAGGAAAAAAAAAAAAAAAAAAAGAAAAAAAGTTTCACACTTGTTAATAAACTACCAGATATATTTAATCATTAACAAATATATATCAATAACATGTTTTTTCTAAATTACATAATTGTAACCTACAACTCCAATTTGTAATTGCTACCAACTACTATGCAAAGTAAATTCGTGTAATTAGTATTTTATTTATTTATTTATTTTTAATGAATAATCCATGCATTTAGATTTAATTTTTTTCACAAAAATGATTTGATGTAAGTAATACAATGCAACGTTTATCTTTTTTATTCTACAAAAAATACCTGTTGTTTGCAAATTAAAACGTGATTAATTTAAATTTAAATTTAAAAAATGTTAAAAATAACAATAAATTTATTTATTTAATGTAAGATGTTTGGAAGTATCATAAATTGACTTTGTAAAAATGTTTTTTTTTTCAAAAGAAAATTTAATCTCTTGAATATTCATGATTAAAACCCTATTTTATTATATTTAATTTCCTGCATACGCAATACATGGAATGATTGCAATGCTTTTTTATAATAAAATAATATTACATACATACTTATTAAAATAAAAAAACAAACAGTGTGATAGTCACTATACTGTTTTTACACATACATTCATTCTAGTATATCTTTTGAAGTTTCGTATTGAATGATTAACAACTGAATAAATCTTTGACATCCAACTTCTCTCAAGTGTATAATCTTGCCTAAAACAAAATAGAAGTTGTTTTATTGAAAACCAACAAACTCCAATCCACAATTCCCACCAAAAGTGTTGGATCCTTTATAGCTGCCACAAATGTGATCCATTCAGTGGACACTAATCCCCATTTCGTGACGTTATCCTATTAGGAATGAATGGATCACATCGAACATTTCATCCAACACATATACCGATTCATCCACATGGCCATCCATGTCCACACAGTGACCCTCAAGTGAGCAGAGACCTAAGCAGACTTCGCTTACGAGTGAAGAGCACGAGTCAAGCTCCGATCAATGCTGAAACGAGAGCCTTCCTCCACACACACGGCAGGTGAAGGAAGGCCTCCTAACACCACTCGAAGGTGGAGACCTCGGTGCCAAAGCTGTTGCAGGCAAGAACTGGAGGTCATCAGCGGCACTTCAAAACACCTAACGACCGACGCAACACCTCGCAAAGCCACGTTCACGCAGCGGAGGCGTGGCGCAAATCGCATTGGCAGTTAGGCAGCCGCCGAGAGCGCCTCCACTCCGCCTCTTCGACCCGAACCAGGTTGAGTCTGCTGCGGATGAATGATGAACCTGTCGCACGATCATATATACGGTAACGGGTTTATATCCGCGAATGAACGGGAAGGTACACGACTGATATGTGATGGATTGGGGTGATGCTTAGTAGGTACAAGGAGGGTATCGAGGCTAAGATGGTGGGAGGGTGACAATGGGAGGGGGGCGGTCAGTGGTAGGTAGGAGGGAAGCCCTAGCGAGCGAGAAGAGCTTTCGGGTATTGTTTCTTGTTCCTGGCCCGCCTCCGCTCTCTTTTCGTCGCGTGTCCCCCCCCAGCCTCTCGACGTCGAGTGAGTGTGTTGAAGCAGGCGCTGGCCGAGGCCTTGCCTGTTCGGCACTAATGTGTTCGCACGGGAGATGATGAGGCTCGGCCACATTTCAGGCTAAGTTCTCCTCAATCTCTACCACGCACATCACTCTCCACTGTCGCAGCACTGCAGTGACAAGCGAGTGGCCAAAACCAAAAAATATTTCGACGCGATTATAGTTCCAAGGCGCACTGCTGCCGCTTTATTGTATCAGGTGAGGCTCCTAGTGTGTTTATTTGACCTCTGTATTGATTAGGCGCTATTTTGGCGATCCTTAGGGTTTCGGTGGATTTTGTATCAATTGTTTGGATTAGTAGGGTTTTGTTGTTCTTTCGGTTAGTTGGTACCGTTATGGTTGAGTACGTTGCTTGCGGTGTCTCGGTTCACTCTGGCGCTCTAGCACAGGATTACTGCGCTTTTGCCTTGTGTGGCTAGGGCTGGCGCGGTTCAGTCCCTGATGTCTGTGGCCTGTCGGCGTCAGCGAGCTGTAGGCTGACATTATATTGGCGTGTGTGGTATATGGTGCCTGTGCAGTCGCTGTTTCTATTTGTGGTGGTGTGTGTGGAGCAGCAGAGATTCCTACCGGGGGAGGGAGATAAGACGCGGTGCGTTTATTTCGTCGCCGTTCTTGTTCCCTGGAATCCTGTCCAGCAGGGTCTAAAACTATTCAAAACAAAATCAAAATAAAAAAAAAAAAAACATTCAGAAATCCTTGATACTTAGAACTCACAACCTTTACCACCCAGGCAAAATACCTGTCTCGTCTGTCGGCTGTCGAAAACCTGTGCAAATCCTTTCGGCAGATTCGCTTCCACTTTCGCAGTTTTGATTTAGACCTTTTGTCAGTAGCTACCATGGCTCAGGCACCAGTTCAGCAGCAGGCACCAGCAGCCAGTGGACCTGCACCGCCTAATTTTGTGTCCACTTCTCTCTATGTTGGAGACCTAGAATCCACTGTATCCGAAGCTCAGTTATACGAAATTTTCAGCCAGGTCGGGCAAGTTGTATCCATCCGGGTCTGCCGTGATCTTATCACCCGACGTTCTTTAGGGTATGCATATGTCAACTACAACAACGCTCAAGATGGTATGCATGCTCAACACCTTTACATATTTGTGTTTTCATTGCAGGATCTGCTTTACTTTCATTAAGATTTTTGGTTTTCTCTCATATGATTAACAGGGTTTTAGTATCTTGTAACGACGTCTATATGTTCTCAGTATTTCTGTTATGGTGATGAATTTTTCTACTCATTTTACATGGATTTCACCGTGACCTCATAGTTGTGCTGCTATTCTATGTGTTTTGTTGTTTGTCTTACATTGTAGTCGTGTACAGCGTGGCTTGAATGATAATGTCTGCTGCAAAGGGACATCTGTTTTCGATGTCTAAGCATTGTCTACAGTGTTGTTCTGTTGCAAATGAGATTGAGGAGCTGTATATCCTTCTGTGGACCTGACTGTGTGGCAGCTACTCGTGCTTTGGAGTTGCTCAACTTCAACGCTGTGAACGGAAAACCAATTCGTATTATGTTCTCGCACAGAGACCCAAGCATTCGTAAGAGTGGAACGGCAAACATCTTTATCAAGGTATGGGCGAAATTCTTTCTGTAATAATGATCGTGTTTCCACCCTTTGCAGGTCTTATGTTCTAACTCGTGCGAATTTTTTTGCAGAATTTGGACAAATCTATTGACAACAAGGCTCTGCACGACACATTCGCTGCATTCGGTACTATTCTTTCGTGCAAGGTTGCAACTGACCCTTCTGGCCAGTCAAAGGGATATGGATTTGTCCAGTTTGAGCAAGAAGAGTCAGCCCAGACTGCCATCGAGAAGGTGAACGGAATGCTTCTGAACGACAAGCAGGTTTTTGTTGGGCCTTTTGTGCGTCGTCAGGAAAGGGATCAGTCAGGAGTAGTTTCGAAGTTCAACAATGTATATGTGAAAAACCTTGCTGACAGCACTACTGACGACGAGCTGAAGAAAGTGTTTGAAGCTTACGGACCAATAAGCAGTGCTGTGGTGATGAGGGATAACGAAGGCAAATCCAAATGCTTTGGATTCGTTAATTTCGAGCATGCCGATGATGCCGCCAAAGCTGTCGAGGCCTTGAACGGCAAGAAGTTTGACGAGAAGGAGTGGTATGTTGGAAGAGCGCAGAAGAAGTCTGAGAGGGAAGCTGAGCTTAGGGCAAAATTCGAGCAAGAACGCAAAGAGAGGATCGAGAAGTACCAAGGAGTAAATTTGTACCTGAAGAATTTGGACGATACCATCGATGATGAGAAGTTGAGGGAGATTTTTTCTGAGTACGGAACCATTGTATCTTGCAAGGTAAATTTTAGACCTGTACTACTGCTTAGTTTTTGCATCTGTTCAGTAATTTTTAGGTGAATCGGTCCTTGTTGTCTAGGTTTGAGATTACATTATGACACTATGTGATGTGTGTTTATGAACGTAATAGGTGATGAGAGACCCTCAGGGTCAGAGCCGGGGTTCTGGATTTGTTGCATTTTCGTCTCCGGATGAGGCCACACGAGCGGTATGATGGATAACATTTCTGACTACTGTCATGATGTCATCTCTTTCGATGGTTTAGTTCTGCTGGAATCAGTGCTCATGTTTGAATCATTTAATGCAGACAACAGGTCTGGGGAATTGGATGTGACTTCGTTCAGTGACGGTGCTAGATATGAGTTCAAAACTTGAAATAATCTGTGGAGTGTTACATTTCATAGGATTCTCCCTTTGGGTGAGATGATGATTGTATTTTACATTCGGCTTGAAGCTTATCATGTATGTCAACATCATGTTTCCTTCTTGTTCTGTTTCTTTTGTTTGAATGTTGCTACTCCACAACCGTTTTGCAGGTGACTGAAATGAACGGCAAGATGGTTGGAAGTAAGCCTTTGTACGTAGCCTTGGCACAGCGTAAGGAGGAGAGGAGGAATAGGTTGCAAGTAAGTGGAAATCGTGGTCGACAATTGTTCACTGCGTTTTTTTGTCTCATTAAAGGTGTCCCTTTCGTTGGTTCTGATGTCTAATTATTCGTGATGCGCAGGCTGCATTCGCTCAACGAACCCCTGTTGGTCCTGCAGTTCCGACTAGCCTTCCTATGTACCATCCTGCCGGTCCAGGGATGGGTCCAGGGATGTCTTACTATGGACAGCATCCTCCTGGCCCAATCCCACTTCAGGTACGCCAATGTTAATTCCTGCCTCTTGAAAGTTTGTGTAGCGCTTTTGCAGTCGCTCGTGGGTTTGCTTGCCCATGTGATCAAGCGCTTAGCATTTGGGTACTCAAATGTTTCGATCTCACCTACTTTTAATCACTGAATCAGAATCTTTTGGAAGAATGAAATCGTTCGCAGTTTGACAATTGTGGACAGTTCGGCGAATTTATTGTGTATTTTGTCAAGTGCAGCCTGCCGCGTTCGGATACCAGCCTCAGTTGATCAGACCTGGTGGGGCCCAGTTTCCAAACTACATGGGATTTCCTAATGTCCCCCCCCTCAGGCAGGGACAGCAAGGACAGCGTGCTGGAGGCAGGCGTGGCGGGGCACCTCAGCAGCAACAGCCTCAGCAGCAAGTATTGATCATCCTCTCTGTCGGTTGCTCAGATTTAGTTCGTCCTTGATGGTCCGAACTTGTAAATGATAACTACTGGTGACGAGTTTTTAGAGTACTTTTTGCTCATGCAGAACTTGCTTGTCTCCTAAACTTGTACATGTGTGTTGTGATTGTTGATGGTGTAGATGATTCAACGGGGTGGTAACCGGAACTTCCGATATACTACTAATGCGAGGAACACTCCAGATGTCGCTGTTCCTCCTCAGGGTATCATGGGTGCTATGCTTCCTGTTCCCATTGAAATTGGAGGTGTGCCAGTGGCTAATGCTGATGCTGGCGTTCCTCAGCAGCCTCTGCCAATCAGTGCGCTTGCTTCTGCTTTGGCTTCTGCCCCACCTGAGCAACAGCGTGCTGTAATTTTCTCGACTTTTCTGTTTCTTTACTTAGTGTGCCAAGGAAGTTCGTGTTTTTTCTTCACATTTTCTTTTGTTGGAACTTTCACTTTTACTATAAATATTAAGCAAATGCACTCGCTCTCGTGTTTTCTCAGATGCTTGGTGAGCAGCTTTACCCTCTGGTGGACCAGCTGGAGCATGATTTTGCTGGCAAGGTGACGGGCATGCTCCTGGAGATGGATCAAACTGAAGTTTTGCATTTAATTGAGTCGCCCGAAGCCTTGAAGGCTAAGGTAGCTGAAGCCATGGATGTCTTGCGTATGGCTCAAGCTGTCCCATCTCCTCCAACTGACCAGCTTGGTAACCTTGCCATCGGCGATTCGGCTTGAGAAGACTTAAAACATGGAACCCTAGCCGAGTCGGTTACCTTAGACGGTGGGGTTTCATGTGTGTGGAGCTCTGGGACTAGTTATTGATGAGCAGATTGGAATGGTTGCCCGACTTTAGTGCAACAGCATAGCGTGGGTTAGACACCGGATGTGGCACCAACCTCTTTCTAAATTGGAGAACCAGTTCCTTCTTTAGGTCTGATTTTTCCTCTTGGGCAAATAAGTGAATTGGTTAAGTATTTCGGTGTGTTAGTCTGCTACTCAGGTTGTTATGCGTTTTCAGAAGTACTATATGTAATCGGGAGACGGAATTGCAATTTAAACGAGTTTGGCTTTGCTGTTGTATGTTTTGAGCAATATTATTTAAGAGTTTTGGAAAAGTTGCAACTGTCTACTCCAGCAGCATGATTATGTTAGCGTTAATGTTCACATTTTTATTCAATCTGCTATAGGGTAATTATGAGAGAAAAGTAGGCCAATTTTCCTGATGTGAATTGTATGTATATTAGACGCAGTAGGTTGTAGGTGAATTTTTAACAATTGGTTGTTGGCCAGGAACATTTGCTGTGAACTTTTGTCAAATTTATATTTTAAATATCTTTTACTGTTATTAAACAGAGAATGTAGTTATGTAGGTGATTACATGGAAAGTATTATTTTGCCGGTTGGCTAATTGCGTTGCGAGAATATGAGAGTTTTCATGTAAAATATCTACGGCTTTACATTAAAAATATCTCAAAAATCATCTATGTTCAAGGAGTAATATATAAATGTTACTGATCCATCTCCGATTTCACAGTATCTCCCAATATTGCTACAGTATGTCAGGATGCCCATTATAAAATCTGGATCGCCACTTTCAGAACAGGTTTACGCTGCTGAAGTGTGAAGCTAAATGTGCAAGAAAATTGTCACTGCACAGCGAATTCTGGAAACATTGCATTTATATTCTAACTACAGCCACTACCTTGACAGGAGAGACTTGAAGTAGCAGAAATTCATTTATAAATCCAGTTATCTAATGGTGCGGGTGTGGGACCGGAAAGTTCATAGCAACGCCTTGTCCAATAGGTTTCAGAACTTGCTGTTCAACCTGTTCAAGAACGTGATCAAGTTATTAAGAATTGGTAATTGATGCGTTCCGTGCATTGGTAGACGATGAAAGAACCCAAGACTGCAATTTGTCGAGATTACTGTATCTAAAGCCCTTAAAAAAAGATTAAAAATTACGAATTTGTAAACTGATCCAATTCTACCAACGGATTCAGATTAGATGCCACAGAAGTTAGTACTCACCTTAAACGTTGAACCGCACATTTGTCCCTGGCTATCAATTCTAGGAATAGGCTTCAGTTCGCCCTTAGGATGCGCGAAGCTGTGCAATCCTCCAGCACTAGAGAAGTAGCATCCTGCTCGTCAAATAACACACTAAGTTATTGACGCTACACATCAGAGGTGGTGGCATGGCCATAGACCTAAGCGCAATAAAGAACAATCAGTGTCAGGAAAATGTAGTATACCTTGAGGAAAAGGTGCAAACGACTTGCCACACGCTTGTTTAAGAAGCTTCGCATCGTCAGAAAAGGCCACAGTTCCATCCGCAGCAATTCCCCAATAAAACGGCACTTTACCATGCGGATCCTGCAGATGTGATAAAACCCAATTAGACGCAAAATATTGTCATAATTCCGAAGTGAGAATGGTAACATAAATTACACATTGAGTTACATAGCACTATTATGCAAAATGAATCAATGAGTCTGAGACGTAGAGAAAGCAAAATCAGTCAGTTGGAACACTAAGACACTTACGCAGGCAACCAGAAGTGTCTTCGTTTTGTTATCGTAGAGAACAAACGCAAATGCACCGGACAAGTCTTTGATTACTTGGTCAGCAGAGTAGGGGCCTCGATCACGCAGGACTCTGTACATTTCCGTAATAAGTGTGCACTCGGTGATCATCTTTGACAGTCCATAGGCCTGCCTTAATTGAGGAAGGTTTTCCAGCATTCCAACAAACATGCAGTAAATGTCATCCACGCCAGAAAAAGTTCTGCAAAATCAACAAAATAACCTCAGAAGCCAACTCCATATTTTACTATTTCAAATGTATTGTTGGTTCTAAGTAACAAGAACACCTAGACATGGATTCCCAAACAGCACGACAAAAGTCTAGGAATTAGACAAACTCCGACGCTTCGAAATTGTTATTAGCATCCCGACAGTGTATTATTTAGTGTTAACCGCGGTTATACAAGAATCAGAAGAAACACACCATTTGAATAAGACTTTCTTTGAAATTTTGGAAAATAAATTTTACTGTCGGGATGCTAATAACAATTACAGACATTGACATCAAAATTCAATACCTGAAGACTAAACATTACAATTATCTAGGCTTCTGAAGACATATTTGATCAAAGGCAGTCTTAAATAGTGACGATTGGTTGAATTAATTATCCGAAGCAGGTGAAACGCCCAATGAGTCGAACATACTGAGTATTCGAGCGAGAAGAAAGTAACAAAGATACAAAACAGAAGTGTAGTCACAGATGATGACGCAGGAGACACCAACAATATACCTTGGACGCAACAGAGCTTGTTTTGCGTGAGAAAAGGTCATAAAACTATTCCCGTCGAAATGCATCGCCACAGCATCAGGGTACGACTTCTTGTAGGCGGACAAGATGTCTCCGCCTGACAATCGGCAATCAGGGCTCCCGCTATCAGGAGCAACTAGCTCTTCCGGAGCTTTGGCCACAGACTTGTGCACCACAGCCAACATGTCGGCAGACAGACAAACTCTCGTCACAGAAAAACCTGCATACAAGAAAGCGATCGTTAATTTCAAGACACGCATGCAAGAACACGAAAAAACGACACACGAGGCAACAAAAATCCACCATAAGTTCCGTTAGGTGCTCAAGCACATACTCTAACTGGAGGTGAGCTACACACCACAATGCCAATGAAACCATCTACAGCACAATCAGCCGATCGGCAGCACGAACCAGCTGACAAATAAAAGCACAACTTAAAAGAGCTTCTAAAAAGACTTGTCCCAATCGCAATTACAAACACTAATGACGTCCCTAATTTCGTTAATTGTTCCTTACTTCCACCAAGCTACCTGTGCTCCACCAAAACTTCCACACAGTAACCTTATCAACAGAGCAAGTAATGCAGAAACTCCACCACCGCGTAGATCCAACTCAAAACTCTCTCTCGCTAAAAATACGACCTCACGAACTCCACTTCGACTCTCATTATAAAGATCATGAAAGCAGTGGAGGCCAAGAAAATTTACCAAAATCAGAGGACCGATCGATCGATCGAGAGCGAGGCAGAGCAAGAGAGCGAGAATCAGAGAGCCGAGAGACAAATGTCAGAGCCTGAATACGATAAAACACAGTGCGATGACGAGAAGGTTAATGAACCCCAGGTAGAGTGTTTATGTAGCCCGCTAGATGACGCGAGGCAGGACCGGGCGGGAAGGGGTCGAACCGGGCCGGGCTGGGCGAGTTGGATAAACTGGTGCTGAGCATCGATGACGGACCCGGCGGACCCGTTAGATAAGTCCCGACCCGGCACGATCCACAGAGTCGGGGTCGGCTTTGCCAACTCGGCCGCAGTGGTGGTGTCAGTTCGGATAAACGTTCCAGCTCACCCGGCCCTTTTCCCCCTCCCGGCTCGGACCGATTAATTCCGTCACGCGCAGTGCTTATCTCACGTTCCCGGCAAATCGCGGGTTGGCGTGTACTCTTTGACTCAGCGGGACCATCTTTTCTCCCCCCGTCTAGTCACAATTCAAAACTTCGTAATTAGTGTCTCCACTTAACTTTTTTGAAATAATCCATTCCTTAACTAAGAGAATATACTCTCGAATAAACTCGCCTCTAAATATCCATGTCTTGAAGTGTTTTATGAAATCCCATGTTTCTAAACCACATGGTCATGTAAATTCTAATAAAATACAAGCCATATGAGCATGTAAGAGTTCACATGTACATATACTTATGTGTGTGTGTGAGATTTTACTCTAACAATGTCCCATGTGTGTGTGTGTGAGATTTTAGTCTAACATTGTCCCATGTTGGGTTAAAAAGACAAGACTAATTAATCAATTCAATACTGTGGTTTGGTGTCTTGGTTTAGTTCATATGGCATCTTTTGACCAAAAGATGCCAAAATGTGAAACTCTTGTGGATGGTTCTCACATAATGCATGGCCTTTGATTGGTGCAAGTTTTTAAGGAGAACATTACATATGTTCATTTCAAGATCTTTTGAATTTGACAGTTAAATACAAAAATGTATAGTGTGCATGCTTTAGGTTTCAACTATTCGACATCTATGGAAAATGGGGATGAGTGGCAATAGCAAAAGTAACTTTCAAGTGCCTTCAACAAAGATCACAATATACCCATTTCTTTCCATCAATCATTGACCTGGAACTCTACCTCAACTGGCACTCAACATGAATGCAAATTGAGCAATCCATAAGTAAATAAAAAATAAATATAATTATGGAGCTTAAATTATTCTATAAGATTGTGGGCATTTACAACACGAAATTCTACAATAACTTTTACAGCATTTTCAGGAAAGATCTAACCACAGGTATGCAATTCACACTACGTTCATCCAATCCCAAAATCTCGATTTCCAGGACGGTGATCTCCAACATGGGGGGCAGATTCGGTGGTGCGATACTCCCATATGGTGTAGCCTTCGATGGCTAACACGTGGACAACATCCGTGCGTTCCGAGTGGTGGTAGGGTTTGGCCGTGGAAGAGAGAGAGCGAAGGCAACTAATGCCCAGATTCGAGTTCCTGGCGTGGCACGGGGATAGGCACAGAAAGTGTAAAGAAAAAGGAGGTAATGAAAAAGAAAGAAGGGCTGTGACGCCACTTCGGAGGGTGTCCTTTGTTGCCAGCGAGTGATCCAACTCATTCCACCTGGTTGGGCTGCATTGCTCTCTCACAAATAGAAAGAAAGTAAAAGAAGAAACGACATGCTTTCCTATAAAGTAAAGTAGACAAAAAGGTGAAGAATTCTTGGTGTGAATGTTACACCAGCTGCATTTAATTGCAAATAAATAGTTTTTTTAGTATGATTTTGTGAGCAGCTGTTTTCATGGCATAATCATATTCATTGCTGAGGGATTAGATAAATATTATAACTCAAATCAAATAAGATGCTCTAAAAATGCAATTTCAAAAAATCAAACAAAATTCTTAAATGAATGATTATATGTAAAGTAAAATATTTGTGAAATTGTATATCATGTATCAAAGGATGAAGGATCTCTCTCTGTCATATTTAACAATCGCCAGGTTATTGTAACTTACAAAAGGGGTAGTAGGATAATTTCATTTTGTTTCATAAAAATTTAGTTTGTACCAAGACATTGTTTCTATTTAACAATCGCCAGGTTATTGTAACTTACAAAAGGGGTAGTAGGATAATTTCATTTTGTTTCATAAAAATTTGGTTTGTACCAAGACATTGTTTCTCAGACACTGCTAAAAATTTGAATTCCGAAATTTTTGTCATACAATTTCTGAGTTAAGTTAAAATGGTGCAAGAAATGGGCTTCATTGTAGCTTTAATGGCTTTGAGATAACTTCACACATGTATATTCTATTCAATATTACCAACAACAAGGATCATTAAACCAATCAAAATATAAAATGCTTCTGCACAAACCTTAGATAAAACTAATGAAATAAACATATTTAAAAACACTTTTACAATTTGGATAAAGATTGAGAACATTTTTTTTTTACACCATATAATAACAGTCTATGAGATCATCACAATAAGTAGGGGCCAAACTTTAAAATCTTAAAATCATATAAGCTCTTATATCTTTTTAGATTAGTGTTGATATCAATAGTGGTCCATATTTAATATAAACCCTTGTCAATTTGAGAGACGAGTTTATATCATCTCAAGAATGTTGTTGATATGCTTTGATATATCCCTCCTCATTTAAAAATTTTAATTATAAACAATAAAATTTTGTAGTTGCTTGCACATAAATAGGCCACAACTTCTAGGTGACTAATATAATTAGATAAAAATATTAGAGTATGGATCTTTGCCATTAATTGTTTGTCAAGTTGCTCTAGGGCCACTTTTTGCAATCCACTCACTAACGTCGCTATGTGTCACGGACATAATCATGTGTCACGGACATAATCATGTAAGTTAGTAATTACATATACAAATAGATAGAAGTAAGTAAAAGTAGGTAAAAGTAAATTAATTCTATAGTATTTAATATAGAAGCTTCCTAGAAGCTTTATAGATGCTGCTTTGACTTCATAGGTGTCTTTAATTGATTTTTTGGATTAGAAACGTGGTCAACAAGTTGGCCATGTGCTACACATGTTGTTAGCTTGAAGATTAAGCTAACTATGTGGCCCACACGTAGAAGAACTTACCTTGTAAGTCAAGGCATGTGTCCTACAAAGTCAACACATATTGGAGGACCTATAGAACATTGCCATGTAGTCCCTAGTTAGATAGTATATATAGAGACAAGAGTGAAGGCTCCTTCACTCTTGTCAACTCCTTTCTTGCTTCTAGTCTAGTTTCAAGGGTCTCTAATTTTCTTGTCTTTTGGCAATAGCCATTCCAGTTTTTCTTTCAATATATATACTTGTTTATATATATTTTGTTACCTCTCTTTGAGTGAAGGCTTACTTGTTTGAATTGTTTTTTCATCGAGTTCTTGTCCTTGACAGATTGACAAGAGTACACCTATAATATCAGAGCTTGGTCTAATCTTGATTAAGAGTGGATTATCCCTTTTTCTTGATAAGATATAAGCATATTAGAAGTTGCGGATTACCCTCTTCTAAACTGATATTGCCCTTAGTATTTTCTTTGTCCGCAAGTCCTCTCTTCTATTTGTCTTGAGTGATATTAGACATCTTCTCTCTTCTAAGTGTTATTATGGCAGAACTTCTTGAAATGAAGAGTGCAATAGCAGAAATGCAAGAGCAATCGAGGGAGTTAATGCTTGCGATGTATCAACTCAATTTACCACCACAAAGAGCAACAAGATTGGTAGGAAGTGAAGATATAGAAATGGTTGGAGCAGCTTCCACATCTGCACCAAACCATGTCCTTTCTCCTATGGTGGAATGCCCTTCAAATGTTAGAGAACCAAGAATTGCCCTACCCGAGAAGTTTGATGGCACCGGATCCAAATTTTGAGGATTTATCAATCAAGTGCAACTTGTGATTGAACTTCAATCCCAAAGCTATCCAACTCTAGGATCACAAGTTAGATTCATTCGTACGCTTCTTTCAGGTTCGATACTATCGTGGTTTTCATCTTTTCTTGAATGACGAGATCCAATATTGGATAATCTAGATGCTTTTTTGGCGGAGTTTTGATCCATGTATGGAGAACATGATGTAATTCGTGTTGCAACTAATAAGATCCGTATTTTATGACAAGGTAATCGATCAGTAATATTATATACTTCACAATTTTGACAACTTGCAACTGATATCAAGTGGGATGATACTGCACTTATTAGCTAATTTCTCTACGGATTACAATATGAGGTAAAAAAATTAATGCTCAACTTATCTGATCCTCAAAAATTGAGTCAAGCAATTGACTTTGTTGTGAAGTGCGACAATCACCTTTTTGAATTCCAATCTGAGAACCGTACAAGTGGACCTCAACGTTACTATAATTCAATGGCAATACCAACACCTCTTCAACACATACATTCGGAAGTAGAGGAAATGCAAATTGATGTAGTACATTTCAAACCTCTTACTGAGCAAGAAAAGACTCGTCGTCGTCAAGAAGGATTATGTTTATATTGTGGAGAACCAAAACACACTGCTCAACATTGTCCAAAGAAATGACGCAATCACAAAATGAGGAGTATGGTTGTGAAAGAAGACAATATGTCAGAAAACAAGTTTGTCCAGCTACAATAGGGACCGTGCGGCTAGAACCTTGCACAACATCTAATAAAGGTCCTATTCTCTCCTCAGAGCCCTCTCCTTGTTTTACATTAAATAATATTTTAGGACCTAAACATTACAAAGTCTCTGTCAGGTTAGATTCAGGAGCCTCAGCGTATTTTTTAGATGAAAAATTTACTAAAAGACATAACATATCTTTAGTAAAGAAAACTAAACTTGTTCATGTAGAAGTCATAGATGGTCGTCCATTGTCATTCGAAGATATTACTCACAAAACCCTTCCTATAGAAGTAATAATCAATGGTCATAATAGTTTTGTAGTATTTAATATCATAAGATCTCCCTCTAATCCAGTTATTTTAGGTTTATCGTGGTTAGAAAAATACAACCCTGAAATAGATTGGATTTTCCGAACTCTTACTTTCTCTAAAAGTATAACTAACAATGTAGTTAATCAAGTAGAGAGTCATAAGTTTAGTTCAATTAAACCTGTATTTATAGGTG